CGGATGTCTGTTTTTTAATGGCATTATCCCATATATAATAATTAAGATTTTCAAAGCTGGCTTGCAATCCTGTTAAACAGCAAGATTATGCTATGTTCATTGATGCAAATCGATACAGTATCATACGTTTCTAACCGATGGCACAATGCCGGTTGCCAAGCTCAATCGGTTGACACTCCCCCCCCCCCCCCCCACTCACACACACACCAAGCAGCAGGCGAAGCCTGGCGAATTGTGTGTCACCGAGATTTGGTAAGAAATTCCGACCTTAGAAATATGTGACGCACACTGTGGAGCAAAATATTGACGCTATTGCATTGATAAAAGAGTTGTTCATTTTGGTTCTAGTGGCTCAAATCATGCTGCAAAATCTTGACAAATATTTCAGTGCTAGAGATGTCATCAGCGCTAATAATTTTTGAACGGAACTTCGTCATCAATGGCATATATTGGTCTTGAGTTGATCTCATTTTTAACTGTCAACTGCTAGCAAAAAAACCAACAACTCTGAATGCCATTTAATGTGCATTTCTTATGGTTCATATTTCTTGCGGTCAGTTAACTTAAGCAAATCACGGAAAATCAGTCCAAACAATTACGCTTTTTGTGATCCACGTTTTTCACGTGGTCTCTTAAGAACAGCATCTTGCATAGTTAATTGAAACTTTGAAATTGTGCTGTGAACTCATGTCCTTTAAACCCCGGCGTCGATTCATCAAACATGAAACGCGAGGGTGAAACACCGCTGTCAAAATCAAATCCATCCAAACGCTGCACGTGAATGGCCGCTCGACTTACCGCAGAGCAGCAGCAGGGTGGCTGAGATCTTCATGGCTGGAGCCCGACGAGGTACCCCGATGCCATGCCGAAGGGTCGGCGCCGCCGGCTTATATACGCGGCTCCGGGCGGGCGCCGGACGGCAAAAACTGCCGGACCGGCGCGCCACGGTCCCAGGCCCCCTGTTGCCGGCCGGGGTGGCGTTTTTGCCAGCCGGCCGGGCTCGGCGGGGCGCTCCTTCGCTGGACGGGCGAGGTGAGGTGTCACGGCGTCGCTCCGCGCCGGTGGCACGGCTCCGGTCACCTCGGATGGGGCCCGTGCCCCCCCGGACGCCGCCCTTCTGCCCGCTCTCGTTGGCTACGCTCAGACCAGGCATAACGGAATCGGACCAGCAGAAGGGCTTTTTCATTACATGGCTGCAACAATGAAATGAAATGGTGATACCTATGGACAGCCTTTGCTCCATGTTAAGGCTGGCCCGCTACAGTAATACAATTGTGTTCTAAATGCTGCACCGCAATGCCCGTAACACAGTGGTGAATGACCTTTTCGAAGTGTTTTGTACAGACATGTTGCATTGTTAAGATCAAAAGATTGAAAAATAGAGTTTTAATGTGCATTGTAGTGATATGACTGCACACAACACGTTTCCAAAAATCAAGGTTTGAACACTGGATATGCCCAATATGCATGAGTGTGTTGTAATAAGGTATACGTCAATGTGCCGCCTGGTATCCTGATGTAGTATTTCGTGGTTTTCAATAAGCAAAACGCAAAACGTCTCTTCACGGCGATATCACTATTCACAATTTGTTTATCGCCAGTCGTCACATGTCGAGAAAATACAAGAGGTGGGAGACGGACCAAAAATACCAAAAATACCGACAAAGAATATATGATAACGTTGAAAGAATAAACGGCACAATTGGCTCAATCATACGCGGAAACTTTTCCTCAGATGGAGTTATGAGATGCCTTTAAATAGCTGCTGCAGTAGTGTGTAAAATGTGTGTTACCCACTGGAGAGCTGACGTTCGTCAGCTGGAGAGGCAAAATGGACTCTATAGAGGAGGTCGTTTTGTCAGCACTCCTGCCTTGATCATGTAGTTCGTAGCTGAACCTGAATAGCGGTGCGTCTGCACCAAATCCCGTGAAGCCACGCAACCGCAGGGTGAATAGGCATGTCAGGACCTTGACCCAGCCGGCCGGCGGCATCAAAGGCGCGAGTTGCGGTAGCTCGAAGACCCGCGCAGCGTCACTAGTAGGCAGTGGCGTTTCTTGAAGGTGAGATGATGCGTGTACGGGGAATGTCTGCCTTGTTGTGATGGCAGGTTTGTAACTGAAACTCCAGAGTTTATCCGCTGCGTGAAGAAGGGCCGTGACTTGGAGGGACGATATTGAGACCAGACAATGAGCATTACAATGGGCAACATTCGTCTGCATCATAGGCCATGTTTCGCTATAGGGACCAGTCACTCGAGTTTTGGTTGGCGAGTCTTGTCACGCTAGTCTTCCAAACACTTTTTCATTGATCTTCATTTTTGTCATCGGCTCTCTGATTTCTAGTTTGTCTGAAGTTTTGCCCAGCGCACTGTGCTAGCCCGAGATCATGGTTACCACGTGCTTCTTGTCGCTTACTGGTGTTTTAGGGCGCGTCGACGACTATGGTCATTTTTCGCTCATTTATTACCATGTTCAAGGCGTGATGTTGATCAAAGCCAAGAGCGGGTGCCATAATTTGCCACACAATTTAGGGCCTGGTCGCTGGAAAGCTGAAACGAATGACGCATTTTGCAACTTTCAAACCTCATTTGCATGTCAATAAAGCTTGATGATTAAGTGGCATTACTGCACAGCTTTGATTCCGAGATCTGAGGAAACGCCGTCTCCCAAACTCCCGACTACTTTAGAATACATGATTTTGATGGGATCTGTAGACTTGGTGACGCGCAGTTTGATGTGGTCACTTTATGGTGTCGCTGCTTTGCAATGGGAAACTGGCTGTGCTTGTGACGCTCTATTCCCAAAACATGGCATATTGTATATTGCATAAATCGAATTTTTAAAGATTTGATTGGGACTTTTAGAATGGATGGATTTCAGGGATCATGGCTCATACATAGTGTTTGTTGCGTGAGCCCCGACCCCCACCACCCGATCGCGAAAAAACGCAGGTCAGAGGCAGAATTTGGTGGCGGAAGTGTAATGTGCTGCAATGCTCGGCACGGTTCGACCTGCCCTGTGACATCAACTAGCCCCTAGCGCGACCGCTACCACCGGCCGCAGGCCATATCTGTCATGGGCAAATAGCGAGCGCCTAAGGCGACTGGCGCCGACCCTTCACGGCTGGGTGGATCAGAAGACGGGCGCACTAACCAACTGATACATCGGGGCGGCCAAGCCGATGGATCCACTAAGCCAGAGACTTTTCTCGCAACCGTCGTAATGCACATCAGTATCAGAACCTATCCGTCCAATCGAAGGATGACGGATGGGTTAGGATGATACAATGATAAGATTCGAACGGGAGCAGGATGTAGGGCTGCACAGGAAGGGCGTGGGACAGGTATAGTGTAAGGATGCACCAACCAGGTGCACGTCAAACAATGAGGCGCTTACTTTTACGGATCGAATGGTTACAGTTCTGGGCAATGGTAGGCAGCAGCCGGGATAATACTAAAGGGCGCCACAGAACTACTGATAATGACTTGAACGTTTTCTCGAGGCTCGTTTCCTTGCATTCCGTTTGCTACGTTAAGTAACTTAATCGTTTGTTCACTTGGAAATAATTTCATTGTGTTCCTACGTGAGTACAGCGGGTGCAGCGATGCTTGCCGGCAGGGCTCGCGGCATTGGTGGTAATTCTAGAAAAAGTCGCGTGTGGAAAATAACTTATGTTCTGAACGCTTGCATCATTTCATACCTTAGGACTACTCACAGTTTACGAAGCTCAGTTGAAAACTTCATTAGCCCTGAGGGTATGAACGCAGTTTGAACGGTAAATAAATGCTTTGTTTCGAAGAAGCAAGCCGAAAAATTCACTTCAGGCAAAAATACGAGCCTCAGGAAAACACCATACACTGATTGATTCCACATGTTCATGCAGTTTCTGTAACAAAACGATGTATTACATAGCAGTTCAGAACGCGTCTCCCACATACGCGCATGCGCGTAGAGCGGAAAAATGTCGTTGCAAACGTCGATGAAGGTGCGATAGCACTGATCCATTGCCATATCGGTGATCTAGACGGGACCTGCAGCGAGGTGACTCTCACGTATTACGGGTATATGACACAGACAGGGTCGCCCACAAGGTTCACCTTGTCTCCTCTACAGATATTTGTGGCTGAGACGAACAGATGACGACATGTGCATTGCACTACGGCTGAATAATTTGCGTGATGAGTTCTGCTGCGCGGTGCGCACAATGGCTTGCGCTTAGTACGCATTTTAAGCCAGGAGACATGGGCGCAATTTTTGACACGGCATGTTGGCACGGCTTGAACCTTGAGCATAGGTACTTAAAGTTTTGCTGCCATGATTGCTAGCAATGAACAGCGTCATGTGGCCCTGGGCTGCTATGCGTTTAAGAAATGCTGTGCTGTTATTAAGATCACCCGAAGCTGAATAAAGTGTACGTCGATATGACTCTTTAGGATAGCATCAAATATGAGTATGCTTCCAAGGCTCGACTTAATAGTGTAAAGCCGTTTAAAATGAAGTTCACTGCACTATTTGTGACAAATCTCCACTTTTGCAGCATAAAAGCCAAAAATTTCGTCATCCGAGATGCAGCGCTTTTGCCCCGCCCCTCGCCCCCTCCGGCTCAGAGTGGGACGAGTTTCTTGCGGCGGCTCGTGACTCATTTTTCCTGCATCGACCTGATATAGTTTGGCAGGCTTTCCATTGTTCTGTGCTGTCAATGCCGTGATGTACATGGCTTTTCCATTCTCGTATTTGCACGATTCGTTTTAGCCGGAATGCCGGCACCGTATCCTATGATAATGGTTGGCCGGCTGCTTTGCCTGCCTTCATTTTGACATAATCGCTAAACATGCCCTACCTTACCGCCAGCCTCGCGATGCCTTACACCTTATTTCGCCATATTGCCAGTGAAGCACGTTCGCACTAGACGGGATTCGAACCTCCACCTCCCGGATCCCAAGTCGGACGCTCTCGTTCACGGCTATCGTGCCGTCCCTGACCGCTGTCACCCGTCACAGCCACCGCGACCTGAAGCCGGAGAACCTGCTGCTGGACGAGAAGAACAACATCCGCGTGGCCGACTTTGGGATGGCGTCGCTGCAGCCGGACGGGCACACGCTGGAGACCAGCTGCGGCAGTCCCCACTACGCCTGCCCGGAGGTCATTCGGGTGAGTCGCTGCCCCGCGGCGGCATGACCCATTCTACATGGGCTGAGCCCCTCTCTCTGCTGCGGTTGTGAAGCCATCCAGCTCGTGAGCTTTTACACTCACCCCAGGTGCTGATTTGCCTGAGTTACTTTGGTCGTATTGGCTTGGCTGCCACGGGAAAATGAATCTCATTGGTCGGATTGCTGGGTAAGAATATCCGGATCACTCGGATTGCCTGAACCAGACTGGTCCGGTCGGTAGTACTGTTTGCGTCAGGTTGATTAGATCGGTTAGAGATGTCCGGAACAGATGGCACAGACTGCCTGGATCGGCTAATGCAGACAGTCTGGATCAGATCAGCCAGCGGTCAGGTGAAACTGCCCAGTCTGCGGTCAGTGGACTGTGTGCCGGGGACTCAGAAGTGCAAACACGGTGAACTGAGCAGCCTGCCAGGTGGCCGAGAGTGGGGGCGGGGGCGGGGCGGGGCGGGGGCGGGAGTGGGGGCGGAGGAAGGAGGGCGGCGGAACGGGGCACGGACATGAGCCGCGGCGTCCCCGGCTGCCCGTTCTCGAGAGCCGGCAGAGCTCCGCGGGTTGGCCCGCCCCCAGTGTCGCGCCAGCCCGGCGCTGTCCGGCACTCGGTGCCCGGTGAGCAGGCTTGTTTTCACCGGCCGGCGGCATCATTCGTATTCTGGGGCGAGCCTCGGGTTGCGCCGGGCTCCGAACGCCTCCGGCTGAATGGAAACGGCCTCTGACGGCGGTAAACAGCCTGCCCGGGCTTTGTGTACGCGAAAGAAATGGAAATGAGACCAACAAATGCGTGGCGTTGCGAAGTGGGGAGGCTCAGCACCCGCTTAAAGAGCACAACAAGCGGTTGTCGTGAATCTGTGGGGCGCTTGGCTGCCGTTCAAAGCGTGTTTTCGAGCATGACTGTGGCCGAAAGGGACTCATTTTAACTCTACGGGCAGGGACTGAATTGGCAACCCAGTCCGATCCTGTATGTTCAGTGGGCCAAATCCGAGCTAAAACGTGACAATCACGGCAGCACGCGAAGAACATTTGCAGCTTGAACGGACAGTACGACGCTGTGTGCAAAATGGCAAGCCTTCATGTTCACGGCTCCTGTACGGATTTGGCTCGAACATGCCTCGCCAGAGAGGTCTCTGCGTGCATGTCGCAATGTCAGACGATAGGCTGTTATCAGCAAACAGTCCGAAGTATACCGTCGCTCAGGTTTCCCTATTGCATTACCATACAGTGATGAGACCTTTGGGTTATTCGCTGCATGCACTATCAAAGAACGCATGTTGATGTCAATCATTTAAAGACCGCGATCTGTGCTCAAATGCAGGAACATATGCGATTAACCCGTGTCACATGGCTGAGGTGTGATCATGACACGACATGCCTGCATGGTCATGCCCATGTACACAATCCGCATGTACGAACGCTGCAGTATACGCATGGAAAGAATTTTCACAGGAGTGAGGGCTTGGACAGCATTGGAGGACGAAAATGAGAACATGGTGGGATTATTAAAATGCAGTTGTTAGGAACATTCGTCGGCAGACGAAACTGCCTAGCCAGCCTTTCAAATCGGTCGTCGTGGTCTGAACTGTGAAACATTACACGTCTAAAACCCAGCTCAGTGTGGAGAGGGCTTCACAAATTCCCCTGTACCTTCGAGCGCTTACAGATTAGGATCAGAAAAGAGTTTTGACAACTGCAAGTTATAGGGAGGCGGCCGCCACCTAACCGTGCAAGTGTGAAGAAAAATCTGAAAATGCCTTTCTCATAAGACGCTATAATGAAATGGTTGCAGCTTAACGCCCGTGATACCGCTGATGGTCGCACTCTTCAGAACACCTTTCTGCAGCGCGCAAGTACGCCCTCGACAACACCATTCACAACCTTCCCGTCTCAGGGGGTGGCCCCTCAGACTGGACTTCCCCACACACCGTGCCGGTCAATAATGCAGCAGCATGGCCGGGTCCAAAGGACTTTGCACCGGTTTCCCGGGACGGTGGTGTAATGAATGAATGGGAACAGGAAACAGTGGGCGATGAAAGCCACTTGGGCTATCAACGTCGCATTAACTCATGTATACCGTGCACGATCGCAATTTGTGGGATGCGGCAACCAAGCGGGTCAAGCGGTACTAGTCAGTGGTTCTTGACAGGCATAGGCAAGGGTTTTGTGGACTGGGCAGCATGTCAAGGTTTCCCTATCTGTCAACAGATGGTCCAGTGCTACGTACTACCGATGACAGCGATTTTCGTTGATTGCGCTGTGCGTGCTGCCGTCTCCCCCCCCCCGCGGGACCCCCGTTACCTTGTCCGCTGACTCGAATCAAGCTGGTAACCTACTGCCTCTAACCCGCACCATCCCGGAGCTGTATTCCATTATGACGGCTGAGATCACCTTGCTCAGTGCCGCTGGTGTGCGCGGTGCTCACTGTATCCCTCATGTCCAAAGGTCACTCATGACTAGGGTTCATCGTGTCAGCAGTGTCCACCCCGATCGCCGTGTCCGCTGTGGGGTCCGACCCTTGTCCTTCATCAGCCCATGATTACGGTCCTCACCTTGTCTGTGTCCACGTTGTTTAAAGTGCGCGCAAGGTGTCCAGACCGCCAATGCGCCCTTACAATATGTGGCGTTCTTTGAATCCAGGGGTGTCGATATGCATTCCCCTTGGACCCCCCCCCCCCCCCCCCACACACACACACTCCATATTGGTTTTCAACCTCGTAATACTAGCTTGGCCATTGGTTTTTTATTTTTGGGACATTGCAAAAGTTGAGGAACATACTAAATATTAAGCAGATCCTTTCATCTTTTGGGCATTATTTTATGGCTATGTTCTCTGCGCCATTCAAACGCAAAAACTTATTCATATATGATATCCAGCAATTAAAGACAACAATTGATGTGCTTTGAGAAAATGACCTTTAACCCATTGAGAAAAATGACCGCTCAATTGTTCATACTTATAGCTCAGTTGGTTAGATCCACCACTTTACCGGGCCGTGGTGGGATGGGTTCGAGTCCCTTAAGGCGCTCGCTATTCACCCCTGAAAGGTATGGCTCGCTGCTGATGGCAGCGGCCGCGCTATAGGTCAGGTGACGGCAGAGGGCAAGGCGGAACGTGTCAAGCGTTGCGGCACGTTAATCTTTTGCCCTCAAATTCTGCCGTTTATCTGGCATTGCGCAGCTGGATGGTTTAGGTAAGAGCGCACGCCACACAACCAATGCTTAGCGTGATCTCTGATCTCAGAAATCCACCCATTCAAAATGTTTGAATGCAGCCTTTAAGGAATACACATTGGGGGACGCAAACCTGGCTCGCTTCCGCCTCCCACCGCTCCCCCCCCCCCCCCTCTCCCCAACTTGCACAAATCGCCTCCTATGCCTGGATCTGCAATGTCCGCGGTGTTGGCAGTGCTGCGTGTCCTCGGAGTTGGCCACTTCTAAAGCGTCCGCAGCATCCGCAGTGCCCGAAGTGTCCATCTTGTCCACCGTTCATGCTGCGTATCCACCGCATGCCCTGGCCACGTGTCACCCTCGCGGGCGGACAGCGTAGGTCGCAGCGCCTGTCAGCGCCGCGAATGTTGACCGATGGCCCGTGTCACGCTCTCAGTTTTTATTACCGTCGTCTGGGCCGCTTTTTGTACGAGCGGAGCTACGTTCGGGAGTGGTGACAACTGCACGATGCCTTGTCGGGACGATGAGTGCGTTTATGAGACAAGACCAGCCGGATGAGCTGGTGGAGGTTGCGCTTGCCGTCCAACGACGCCTACGCTTGACAAAGATGGCGCTGTTGGTCGCCGAAGACTATATATTATATATTTTATATTATATATAATGCTTTATAATTATATATTGTATATAGTACACACATTAATATTATAGAGAGAGATATGAGATGAGAGGAGAAGAGAGAGAGAGAGAGAGAGAGAGAGAGAGAGAGAAGAGAGAGAGGAGAGAGAGAGAGAGAGGAGAGAGAGGAGAGGAGAGAGAGAGAGAGAGATGAGAGAGAGAGAGAGAGAAGAGAGAGAGAGAGAGGAGAGAGAGAGAGAGAGAGAGAGAGAGAGAGGAGAGAGAGAGAGAGAGAGAGGAGAGAGAGAGAGAGAGAGAGAGAGGAGGAAGAGAGAGAGGAGAGAGAGAGAGAGGAGGAGAGAGAGAGAGAGAGATGAGAGAGAGAGGAGAGAGAGAGAGAGAGAGATTTTTCTATAAGTATAAATAATAAGATAAAAATGATATGAAAAATATGAATAGAAAACTAATAAAAGTAAGAGTGCCTACTACCAAAACCCGCACATTTCCAAGCTTGATAACCTATTGCGCTATTTTTTGCCAGCAATTTGACCTTTGATTCGTTGGGATTGTCTGGGCGCTTTACAGCCTGCTTACAGCATTACACAGGCATAATATTTCCAGCTACAAAGGTCTCCTTCACGCACTTTGACGTGGTTCGATAGCATGAACTTTGTCAGGAGCAGACAGTGGCGGCGCTCCGACGTAAAGCCGTATTACCATCAGCGTTGTCTTACGAAGTGCATGGGTGCCTTGCGTATAATTTTGAAGATAAAATGGGGTGGGTAGTGAAACAAGTACGCACCCCACCTCCAAAATACGCCCAAAACGGGTTTTCTTCCCGAACTCGACCCAACTCCTTCTCAAAGTTGAGGTGGACTCATCTCAATGTTGGAGTGGGCGGGGCCCCCTCCCCCAATTTAATATGGAACTACATCCTTACTAGGAAACTTCGTCCACCGTTTTGGGGACGTACGCAACTTTTGTGCTACCACTATTGAGCTTTTTGGCGTTTTTTGGCAGTTTTGGCAACTTCCGTGATTTGGGCCGCGCTTTGTAGAAAAAAAGAGGAAAACCGCTGAAAACAGGGGAACGTTCCTGCCAAGAGGAACGAAGCCTTATCCATCCCCGAATGCTGCCATTTTCGGCGCCTTCCCCCATGAAGCCACCAAGAGCAGGTGATGCGGCAGCTGGTCGCTCCACGAGCAC